CTAATTTTTATTATAATAGGTCAGTCATCATAATCATGTACTCACCTAACTTCAGTCATCATCATCATCCACTTACATCAATTATCATCATCATCATCCACTTCAATAGTGTCAATATTTCAATTTCAATTTAATGTACACCCAGTCAAAGTAGCATTGCTTCAATTTGGTTGTTAGGTCTCGAATATTTGAAATAAAGTTAACTACTTTTTTAACCTTTCTTAAAACCTAAGCTACATTTCTACGATCCTTTTACACGCAAAAGTTTTTTCCCATATGAGTGAGTGAGTTGTTCACACACACACACACACACACACACACACACGTGTTCTTTATTGATGATGCACATACAAATACATGCACAGCACAGCACAGTTTGTTTTATGGACGTCTCATAATAATTAACTACAACTTGCAACTTTGCGAGTGTTGTGTCACGACGATGATGATGACGTCATTTAAAGTTTATTTATATTATTTTTGAAAACGCCATTTTATTTAAAAACCCTCACTTATTAGGCTGCATTGATTCGCTTACTTGAAACATTCTCTTCTTTGTCACGCGAGTTTCACCGTCAGATGTTATTCTATTTAAATTTCAACTCATTTTTGAATAATAATTAAATATTTGTAAAAATTAAATTCATATTGATGCTAATGAATGCTGGGTGTTCTTCAATAGGCGAATTGATTACAATCAACAGCTAAGCTTGGCAAAGGCACGCACATGCATGCAATGGCAGTTTTTGACATCGTTCAAAATATTACGTATTTGAAAAAAATTTGAAATTTGACTGGGGGCCAACCAAACCCTAAACCGAGTTTTCACTGATGTGGCTGGCTCCCTTCACCTTCAATCCCCCTTGATCCACCATTGCATGCAAGCATTTTCAAGTCGATAGGGTAAATTAATTTCGTTATTTCATTTACGTGGGCTAGTCGTTTCTTTCTCTCAAATGTTCATTCGTTATTGCTATTTAATTTTTCTTTTTTTTCAACGTTCTTTCATCGTTGTTCATTAATTGAATTGTTGTTAGGTTAAGGTTAAGTCAGTAAAAACTTTTACGAATCTCGTGGATAAATAAAATTTATTATATTTATTAGAATATTTATTACAAAATTTATCGGAAATATACAATCTGCATTCATTCGCAAAATTTAATCACACACACACACACAGACACACATACACAGACACGCACATACAAAGATATTTATGTATTTGGAAAATTATATTTTCTGACTTATCAAATCATGTAAAGAGCATCATATAAACTACAACAGCAGCCACAACAAGGCATCGTAATAATAATTAATGATTTTAGCAAATAAATAACAGACAAGCATTGTTGCAATTGCAGTAACTCAACAAATATATGTATAACAAACATCCACGCTAACGGCAAAAAAAGCGACACAACAACAACAACAGCAGCAGCAGCAGTAGTAGTAGTAGTAGTAGTAGTAGTAGTAGCACAACAACAACAACCTTCTGTAACAAAAGAAAACAGTGTTTGATACCTTTTTTACGAACATTCCGTCAAAAACTTTCTATTATCAAATTTATTGTTATGCCACATTTGCTCATTTCATTAATTATATAAATATTTTTTTTGTAATAATATATATGTGTATATATATATATGTATGTGTGTGTGTGTGTGTGTGTGTCTGTGTATGTATGTGTGTGAGAGTGTGCGTGATAATATAGTGGTGTATGCAAATTAAGTTGTGTTTAATTCATGCATTTATTCGAATCCATGTGCGTCATTGCCAAGTGTATTCGATGTATTTTTTTCTTTCAAATTTATCACATTATTCTTTAATATGAATTTCAATTTAATTATATACTTTATATACTTGGTATATATATATATATATATATATATATATATAGCGTGTTTTGCATTGTAAAACTTTTAAATGTTACAATAATATGTAATTAAGGAGACACATTTTTCATGTTTTTGAGGTTTGTTTACGTTACTTTTACTTAAATTGATAAATTGTTTGTTTTTAAATTTTACTCGCATATTGATAAAAAGAAGGATCAAATGAATAAAATATCCAAAAAATATTATTTCTCATGTTTTCAAGAATGAAATTAATATAAATAAAATTTAAGAAAGGCCACTTTCGTTTATTTTAAAGTCTCAGTGGAGGAAACTATTTCATGGGTAGCATCTGGGGGTTCTTCCTACAAGCGACAAAACAAACAATTATAGAAACATGTCCAAAATAAATTACAAATATATTTTTGTATGTACAAATTTGGTAGAATGTTACATAACATACCAACATTCAAAATAATATCTAAACAATATCTGTTGATGATTTTGAAGAAATTCAAACAGATATGCATTAAATTAATTTTGTTTAAATTTTAAACAAATTATTTTTGTGTAAATTTATAACAAAAACAATTATATTAAAACCTATTAGTTACAGTTTTGTTAACTTCACATAAAATAGTTCCAAGTTTATAAAAAATGAAAAAATCTTTTCTGATCCAAACTAACTCAACATCGTGTTACAACGTGGTATTTCACGTGGTACTATTTATTTAATCTAGCACTTTTACGGACATTATCTTTTTTCTTTATTTTCAACTAAAAAAGGATGATGTATTTTTTACGTTTCTATTTGTTTATTGGTCAGTCAAGCAACAAAATTTTTTATTTTACAATTATAATCTCTCTAACCATCAATTAGATAAATTATTGTACTGATCAGCAAGATGATTCATCATATTTCCTCAATTGGACCCTGACCACAGCTCGTTGGAAATCTCTTCTGGCCACCACATCTTCCATCCCCAACTTGATGAGATCCAATCTCTTCAACTTCAACATTCCCTCGCCTTTAATTGAATGTTTTCTGAAGGAGTCTTCGTAGGAATCGAAACCGACGTGTAGAAGCCAAGTGCAAACATCATCAACGCTCCATTGTTCGATTTGTTTACAATTCAAACGATTCTCGGCGCTGTTGTGGACGTCAAGATTGTTGTTATCGTCAGCGATGTTAGTGTTGTTGATGTCCTCGTCTTCGGCAGTGATGTTTGAGTCGTTAGATGGAAAAGTACTATAATTGTTAGGCGTTGTTATAATAAAATTATTACTCAGCCTGTTGAACAAATATGTTGGTTTTGGAATTGGAATGGAGGGCGACGAAGATATGTTGGCTGAGCAGACAGGTGAAAAAGATGTCTTTGTTGGTGATAGGAAAGATGTTTGAGAAGTAAGATCGAGAAAAGATGGTCGAGTTGGTTTGCAACCGTCGATACGATTGTTGTTACCTGCGGAAAATTCATCGGGAGGAGCGACGATACCCGATGTTGGGTCGATTGCCTCAACAGACCGGCTTGTTTCGCTATCTGATTTTCTCGATTTTATTGGTGTCTGATCAGTATCATTATGCAAAAGGCAACATGCTTGTTTTTGTTTCATTTTATTTTCTTTTTGGAAAAATGTTTGATTTTGGGGACGAAAAATTTCAGACTGAAGAGACAAACTCAGTTGAGTCGGTGGAAGAGGAGGTAAAGGTTTTCTAGAAACTTTTAAATGAGGTTGTTGCATAAAATTTGTGGCATAGTTGTGAGTGTTGTGGTTGGTTTGTCTGAGTTGGTCGTGGAGACTGTTTAAGTATTGTTGAAATGTCTTTTCTACGTTTTGTTTGTCAGCATCATCTTGGCATCGTGAAATTAAGTTATGTAATTTTTTCATCTCACTCGTCTTCTCAGTCTGTACTGGATTTTTTATCTTCGGTGGTATCGGTGGAGCAACGTCTGGTGCTGGAAGCTGTTGTTGCTGTTTGTGTTGATGCAGTTGGCTCGTTATTTGATGAATCTTTGAAGGAGTATTTGGCGTTGGTAACATCGGTTTCATCATTTTATCGTTTATTGCACTATCGAAATTTTTGTTGAAAATATTATTACAATCATTGCTAGTGTTCCCGTTGCAGTTGTCAGTGCAATGGTTGAAAGTGTTATCAGATGATGTCGAACTTGGAAGACTTCCATCCGAGGAATTTTCAGCACTCTCACTTACAAAGCCACTTGATTCTGAACATGAAACTTTTCTTAAGGCGGTTGATGTAGTTGCTGTTGGTGATGATATTGATGATAATTCGTTTAACTGCTCAGCAATTTGGGATTGTTGAGGGCTTGTTGGGCTTGACAAAGAAGTATTTTTCTTATTTCCTAAAATTTTTAAAATAAAATTTTTAAATCAAAATCAAATTGTTCTAAATGTTATGGCAAAAGGAATAAGAAAATACTTTTGACTGGCGAGCGACTATAATTAATTTTTAATCGAAATAATAATTTCACCGAAATTATATATGCTTACCAACGATTGCACGAGCTACATTATCAAATGCATCTTCATCCGCTGATTCGTTTTGGTTCCCTGTGGTACCTTTCAAATTGTTTTTACTCTTTTGCATCTTGCCGATCGTGAGAGACGGAAGTTTTATTGAAGGCATTACAGGCGAACACACGTCGTCATCATGGATCGATAACACAGCAGTTTCCGTATTTTGTTGAAGTTGATTGCCGGAAGGTTCATGTTTTTTCTGGTTGTTTGAAAACTCTTTTGGAGACTGTTGAGGTTTGGGAATATTATTTTTGTTGATGTTATCATTTTTGTTGAAAGACGCGTTACTAAAACCATTTGCATCAATCTCATGCTCCTCACAATAAATATTTATTTCCTCATATATTCCAAAATTGGATCTCATGGAAGGTTGCTTCTGAGGTTTGTGTCGTTGCGTTGGTGTGGTTGCCTGAGGTTGAAATTGTTGTTGAGTTATATTAACTACAGAATTTTTAATGTAAGGTGCCGCCAATGGTGAACTTGCTGCTGTTTCAGCACTCTTCTTCAGTTTGTTGCTCATTGTGGCAACCATCAGCTCGACGCTTCGGAGGTTTTGTTGTATTAAATTCACTACAGCTCCTTCCTTCATACTCTCAACCGAAATTCCATTGACCTACGAATCATCGTCAAAACACGAAATGAAGTTGAATGAAATTTACAATAGAAGTATTTAAATATTATAAAGATAAAATATGTTTAAAATTTTCACTAAAATTTTTCTGCGTCATACTGAAAATGACTGCTTTTGCGCTTTGAATGAACGAATGGCTTCAATAACGTTAAACACAAGCGTTTACTTATTTTATGGACAGTACACATGTACAAACACAAAACAAAGATTTTCAAATTATAAGGTCAGCAAGAGATGTGGCACGCACTTGAAGTAGATAATCTCCGGAAGAGATGCCAGCCTCCCACGCCAGGCTGCCAAAGAGGATTCTGCTGAAAATTGGGAAGTTGTGCGCGTAGTTTGATATCTTGCAGACTGTCGGATCAACTGTTATACGTGTGGAAAATGTCAATTTTTTAATTTTGCTAAAAATTTATTTGAATCAGAAATTTTCAAACTTAAGTATCAATCAAATGAAAAGACCGTAACACTTTTAAAGCTATTCATCTTTATTTGAAATTTATTGAAGAAATAAAATTTTATGAAATTTCACAAAATTAAAAATAACTTTTAGAGTAATCCAAAGCGAAACCGTATCCTACAGGTTTTTTTTTCGTCATCGTCACAATCCTCTTGAAGGCGCTTGGTGATTGAAATTTTTTAAATTACCTTGATGATTTTAAAAATAAATTACCAGGATGATTAAATTTTTTTAAATTATCTCCTTATAGATAACCCTTTTTGAAGAATGCAAGTTTTAAAACTAAATGAACACTTATTTTTATTACCCCTTGTTACAATCGTTCTTATTGTTTTTGTAATTGATTCTATTTTTAAAATCTTGAAATATTTTTTGAAATAATCCGTTTAAATTTTCGTTATTTGTGAAATAGTGGCTGCACTTGAAGTTTTAGAATGTATTTTAGTATTTTAGCATGATATTCTTGAAAGCAATAAAATTGCATTAGGCCGCCTTCTAAATGTTCACAAATTCGCAAACTGTAGATGTGTGTTTTGTTTTTATATTTAACCGGTTCGTCGCTGAAATTTTTTATTCATAGATTGAAAAAAATGTTTACAATTTCTGATATAATTTGTTTCTACCAAAAATTAAACCCGATGGGAGGTTCAAATTGGGTCTTTAAATTTTAAAAATTAAGTTTCACTGATGAGATTTTTCAAATTATTAACTGAACGTGAGATGCAAAAAATTTTAAAAATCATTTTCAACGGCAACAACAAAATATCTCCGCTAGCAATGCATGAAATTTTTCGTGTTATTCCCATTTTTAACTGAGCTGATGAAATAAATTTAAAAATATGTCAAAAAAGATCAAAATTACGTTACTTCAAATGCAATTGGCTTTTAAATTGAAATTTAAGATGTTCTTGTCAGCATTGACTTTCTTGTCACCAACATTCTTACATAGTTTTTTAAATTAAAGGTTTCATTCATGTTTGTTCATGTATTTTAATGGATTAAATATGTTTCGTTTGTTCATTTTGATGGATTAGATGGGTTACTTTTGTGTATTTCAACGGGTTAAGTCAACGGTATTTTAAGTCAAATGTTTTAGTGAGATGCATATTTCTGGAGTTATGGGTCTTGCAAAAAAACAACAAATAGTTAATCTACCACAGTGAGACCTGTTCACTTGCCGAACAAATGAACATTTTAAAAGATGTTTTTCTAAATAAAACAACTTTGCTGTTAACATTTAAAACCAGTGGTCTTGTGGTACCAAATTTAACTTTATTTTATTCTTGTGTAAGGGACTGAAATAGATTCAGTCAAAACTTTACAAATTTATACAGAGATTTTGTCCAATTTAGCCATAACCCTACCAACATTTTCTGTTGCCCACGGTTCTGGTTAATAAACATATTCACAGCCCCATATTGCATGCACAATCAAACCTTATTAAGAAGCTTAAAGCTAGACCGGCAAAACAGCAGTTTAGAGTACACCCAGATATGAGCGCATTGCGCATACCATTTATACAGCACTTCCTGCTGTGATGATCAAACATTCATTCGACATATGTTTAATTATAAATTATTAAAAATGTAATGCATCCTCTGAGATGAACACATAAATGTTTTGATGTGAAATCATTTTCTTAAGAACTATTCCAGGTGCATGAACACCAAACCTTCCAAAAATTTTTGCAAACAAATATTTCAAAACATTGCCGTAACAGATAAGCATCATACTGTGTGCACACTATATAAACTGCTTTCTTTTAACTCAATTTCTATTAATTTCTTTTAATTTGCCTAATTAAATATTACGTAATTAACTTTAATAATAAATAAAATCAGTCGAACAAACAACGTTTTACTTCTTAAAGGGATCATTTCTCGGTGGGAGTTGAGGAGGAAGGTCGAATTTTGATTGGGTGGAAATTTGGGAGATTGGTTCGGTGGAGCTAAATTTGTTATCTCTCAAATTTGATTCACTTTTGTATTTATTCTTCTTTAAAGTGAATTCGCTTGGGCCTGAATGATTAAACTTAA